ATTAGGAAATTGAACCCAACAGCATATTAAAAAGATTATTCACCATGATCAAATAAAATTTATCTCAGGAATATGACATAAGAAAATCAAATGGGCAGAGAATCTGAATAGATATTTTTCCAAAGACATACAGATGGCCAAAAAATACAGGAAAAAGAGCTCAACATCACTAATCATCAGGGAAATGCAAATTAAGACCACATGAGATATCACCTTACAGCTGTTAGAATGGCTATTATTAACAAGACAGGAAATCACAAGTGCTGGCAAGGTCGTAGAGAAAAGGGAACCCTTCTCTACGTAGGAAATAACAAGTGCTGGCAAGGACGTAGAGAAAAGCAAACACTTGTGCACTGTTGGTGGGAATATAAATTGGTGCAGGCACTTTGGAAAACAGTATTGAACTTCCTCAAAAAATTAAAAATAGAACTATCATATGATCCAGCAAGTTGACTTCTGGGTATTTATCTGAAGGAAATGAAACACTAACTTGAAAAGATATATGCACCCCTATGTTCATTGCAGCATTATTTACAATAGCCAAGACATGGAAGCAACCTAAGTATGTACACACACACACGCACACACACACACACACACGCACACACCCAGGAATATTATTAGCCATAAAAAAGGAGGAAGTCTTGCCATCTGTGACAACATGGATGGACTTTGAGGGCATGATGCTAAGTGAAATAAGTCAGACAGAGAAAGACAAATACCATACAATCTCACTTATATGTGGAATGTACAAAAACCCCAAAAAGAAAAAAAAAATAACACAAAATCATGGGTACAGAGAATAGATTGGTGGTTGCTGGAGGTGTGCGTATGTAGCGGGGTGGGGAGGGTGAAATGGGTGAAGGTGATCAAAAGGTACAAACTTCTAGTTATAACATAAGTAAGTCCTGGGGATGTAATGTATAGCTGGAAAATTCTAGTTAATAATATTCTAGTGTTATTTGAAAGTTGCTAAGAAAGTAGATCTTAAAAGTTCTCACCACAAGAAAAAGATATTTGTACCTCTGTGTGGTGATGGATGTTAACTAGACTTATTGTAGTGATCACTTCACAATATATGCAAATATCAAATCAATATATTGTACACTTGAAACTAATATAATGTTATATGTCAATTATATCTCAATAAAAAATGTAATACATCACATTAATAGAACAAAGGAAAAAAACCCACGATTATCTCATTTGACTCAGAAAAGACATTTGACAAAAAACAAACACCCTTTCATGACAAAAACTTCTAGAAAACTAAAAATAAAAGGAAAATTCCCCAACATGATAAAGAGTATGTATGAAAAACTCACAGCTAACATCATATTCAATGGTAAAATTCTGAAAGCTTTCCCTCAAAGGTCAGGAAAAAGACAAGGATGCCTGCTTTCACCACTGCTATTCAACACTGTGCTGGAAGTTCCAGCCAGAGCTATTAGACAAAAAAGAAAAATGATTATGGGGCTGGCCCTGTGGCCAAGTGGTTAAGTTTGTGCGCTCCGCTGCAGGCGGCCCAGTGTTTCGTTGGTTCGAATCCTGGGCGCGGACATGGCACTGCTCATCAAACCACGCTGAGGCAGCGTCCCACATGCCACAATTAGAAGGACCCACAGCGAAGAATATACAACTATATACCGGGGGGCTTTGGGGAGAAAAAGGAAAAAAATAAAATTTTTTTAAAAAAAGAAAAAAAAAGAAAAAAGATTAAAGACATCCAAATTGGAAAGGAAAAGCTAAAACTACCTCTATTTGCAGATGACATGATCCTATATATAGAAAATCCCAAAGAATTTACAAAAAAGCTATTAGAGCTAATACCAAATTCAGCTAAGTTGTAGGGGACAAGATCAACACACAGAAAATCAGTTGTTTCTATATACTAGTAATAAATAATATGAAAAGCAAATTAGGAAAGAAATTCCATTTATAATAGTGTCTAAAAGAATTAAATACTTAAGAATAAGTCTTACGAAGGAGGTAAGAGATTTGTACACTGAAACTATAAAACATTGCTGAAAGAAATTAACGAAGACCTAAATAATGGAAAGATATTCCATTTTAATGGACAGTAAGACTTAACATTGTTAAGATGTCAATTCCACCTAAAGAGAGCTACATGTTCAACACAATCTCTATCAAAATTCCCACTGCCTTTTCCATAGAAATGGACAAGCTGATCCTCAAATTCATATGGAATTGCAAGGGACCCAGAACAGCCAAAACAATCTTGAAAAAGAAGAATAAAGTTGGGGGACTCATACCTCCCGACCTCAAAACTTACTACAAAGATAGGAAGTTAAAACAGTACGGCACTGGCATAAGAACAGACATACATATCAATGCAATGGAATAGACAGCCCAGAAATAAACCCTCACATATATGGTCAACTGATTTTCAACAAGGTTGCCAAGACTATCCAAGGGGAAAAGGACAATCTTTTCAACAAACAGTTCTTGGAAACTGCATATCCACATGTCAAAGAATGAAGTTGAACCTTTATCTTACATCACATATAAAAATTAACTCCAAATGGATCAAAGAACCAAATTTAAAAACTAAAACTATAAAACTCTTAGAAGAAAGCATTGGGGAAAATCTTCATGATATTGGATTTGGCAACAGTTTCATGGATATGACACCTGAAGTGCAGCCAACAAAAGAAAAAATAGATAAACTGGACTTTATCAAAATCAAGAACTTTTGTGCATCAGGGTTACTAACAAGAAAGTGAAAAGACAACCTACAGAATGGGAGAGAATATATGCAATCATATATCTGATAAAGGATTGATATCTAGAATATATAAAGAACTTCTAAAATTCAACAACAACAGAACTCAAAAAATGGGCAAAAGACTTGAACAGACATTTCTCCAAAGAAGATATACAAATTGCTGATAAGCCCGTGAAGAGATGCTCAACTTTAGTCATTATGGAAACACAAATCAAAACCACAATGAGGTACCACTTTCACTTTCACACTTACTAGGATGGCTATAATTAAAAACAAAACAAAACAAAAAATATGAAAATAACAAGTGTTGACAAGTATGTGGAGATACTAGCATCTCATGCATGGCTGGTGAGAATGTGAAAGGGTGCAGCCTCTGTAGAAAACAGTTTGGCAGTTTCTCAAAACATAGAACTAGCATATGACCCAGAAAGCAGGAACTTTAACAGATATTTGTACACCAATGTCTGTAGCAGCATTATCCACAATAGCCAAAAGGTGGAAACAACCCATGTCCATCAAGTGATGAAATGAATAAACAAAATGTGATATATACATACAATGGAACACTATTCAGCCATAAAAAGGGATGAGATTTTGATATATGCTACAACATGACTGGACCTTGAAAACAGTATGCTTAGTAAAATAAGCCAGACATTGAAGGACAAATATTGTATGATTCCACTTATATGAGTTACTTAGTCTAGGCATATTCATACAGACAGAAGGTAGATGAGAGGTTGCCAGGGAATGAGGGGTCCAGGGAGGAAGAGTGATGTTTGGGGTGATGAGAAAACTTTGGGTATAAAGAGAGGCGATAGTTACACAACACTGTAAATTGTATACTTATGAATGGTTAAAATAATAAATGTTATCTATATTTTACCAAAATAAAAAATATTAACTATTTACCCAAAAGAAATTAAAACATGCACACAAAAACTTGTCTATAAATGTTCACAGTAGCATTATTCATAATAGCCAAAATGTGGAAATAACTCAAACGTCCATCAACTGATGAATGGACAAACAAATGCAGTACATCCATAAAATGAAACATTATTTGGCAATAAAAAGGAGTCAAGTTAAAACTGGGAAAAAACTAAGATTGGTGAATTGTATCAATTTCAATATCCTGGTTGTCATATTAAACTATAGTTTCATAAAATGTTACCAGTGTGGGATTCTGGGCAAAGCATATAAGGGATCTCTCTGTATTATTTCTTACAACTGCATGTGAATTTATAAATATCTCAATAAAAAGGGGGCTGGCCCCGTGGCCGAGTGGTTAAGTTCGCGCGCTCCGCTGCAGGCGGCCCAGTGTTTCATTGGTTCGAATCCTGGGCGCGGACATGGCACTGCTCATCAAACCACGCTGAGGCAGCGTCCCACATGCCACAACTAGAAGGACCCACAACGAAGAATACACAACTATGTACCGGAGGGCTTTGGGGAGAAAAAGGAAAAAATAAAAAAAATCTTTAAAAAAAAAAAAAAAAAAAAATATCTCAATAAAAATTTCAGTAAAAAAAAATTGTTCCAAAGGTGACACTTGGCTGTGACCTCAAAGTGCCTTGCAGGAAGATGCTCCTAAAATTTTATGCCGTAGATCTAATTACTCATGTAAGTTTTTGAACTTGACCTTAAAAAAGAAAAAAGGAATGAAGTATTGATACACGCTACAACCTGGATGAACCTTGAAAACATTGTCCTAAGAAACCAGTCACAAAAAACCATAAGCTGTATGATTCCATTTATACGAAATATCCAGAGTAGGCAAATTTATAGAGACAGTCTATAGATTAGTGGTTGCCTAGAGCTGGGCAGGAAATGTGGAGAAAACTGCTAATGAGTATGGGGGGTTTATTTTTGAGGTGATGAAATGTTCTAAACTTAGATTGTGATGAAGGTTGCCCAATTGTGTGGATATTCTAAAATCTATTTAATTGTATACTTTAAATGGGTCAACTGTATGGTATGTGAATTATATCTCAATAAAGATGTTAAAAAAAATTTCTCGTGAAGAATAATATTGAAGAGCTTATGGGATGGGGTGGAAGAAGGTAAGGTGAAGCTTTGGAAAACCTTCTGTACTGATTAATCAAGTCTTTTCTGACCCTCATAAGTATAGTCAAACAGTGAACAATATATCTCTTACCCAACACCCTGAATTTCTGTAGTTCTTTTCCTAACCTTAAGGTTAGGATACAGATTACAAAGTGTGGGATTATTGAATCATTTTGAGTCATCTTACCAGTGAGTAGCTCTATCCATGTTTGGACAGTTTCTGTGGGTTCAGTTGCTTTGATGTGTTTGAGAGTTTCATCCAGTAGAACATCACCTGTCGGGCTGTCTGACCTCAGCAGCACCTGTCAGGAAAGAAGGAACAAGGGGCCCTGGTTCATGCGCTTCATTCAAGTTAAAATCTTTCAATATGCCATATACATCATTAGTTAAGTGCTGTAGGAAATGCAAAGCAGCATAACATCCTGTCCCTGTCTTCCAGAAGTTTAAAATCTAGTATGAGGTGATAGTGAAGAGACAAAAATAACATATGAAGTGGGGCCTAGTGACAAACTGGATATAAATAATAATGGAGAAAAGATTCAATAATAACTCTCTAAGTCTGGAAAACCAAATCGTGAAACAATTAATAAAGGTAGGAAAGTCAGAAAAGGAAGCCAGTTTTGGGGAAAAGTTGATAAAATTTGCTTTTAACTGATACGGGATAGCCAAGTTGAAATGTCTAGCCAATAGTTAAATATGTTCCTGGGAATGGAAAAAAAGACAGGCGTAGAAATTTGGGAGCTACTATCATGAACGTGATAGATGAAGCTGTAAAGGTAGATGATATCTCAAAAGGATAGAAAGTTTTGCAAAGGGATACAAACTGAGACTTACATGTTAAGGAATGGGGAAGTAAAGGAAATAGGGCACAGTGACAGAAGCGAGAAAACGTAATATAACAAAGCCCAGGAAAGGATAAATATTCAAGTAGGAGGAGGTGGTCAAAAGTGTCAAATGTCACATACAGGTTAAAAGAGAAAAATAAATTGAAGACTGAATAGAAGCTAGTGACACCTAAGAATGTAGTTTTAGTAGAGTGCTGAGTATGACAGTGAAGTTGTGAGTAGAAGAAAGAGTAGTAAGAAAATGGACTTCCAGTAAATGGAAGGAGAGTAATTGAATGGTTATCTGAGGATGACCAGAGTTAAGTAAAGACTACACCTGACCCAAATGTTTGCCTTCTCCTATATTATACTATCTTTCATAATGTTGCAGCTATAGATATAGAGGAAGAAATAATCAACAGCATTCTAAATGTGATTTTTCTGCACAAAAAAGAAGACAAAACCGTGAACTTATAACTATTAGACTATGGATATCGAATTTCTTCCTCTGCTATAGGGTAATTAAACCTGTTAGACAATGGGACAGCTGAGTCAGTGATATTTATCTTGTCTCAGTACTCAAATCGCCCTATTTCTCCAAAATGGACCATTCGTATCTGCCCTTTTATAAGTTAAGAGGATGTTCACAGAAGATGTTGTACCTTTCTGTCTAGTAATCGCTTCTTACGCATGGTGGGGGGTTCCAGCGAGATTCGACCCCGCATGGCCAGCTCTATCAGGATGCCCCCTCGCAGGCCAGATGATATGCAGTCATTCCAGAAAGATGTGTAACCCTAGAAAAGGGGGAAAGAGAAGAGAAACCATGTTCTCAAAGAGATCCAGACTTGCAGCAAATACCCTAAGAATGGTCCACTTGGTTGTGATTCATTACTTGTGATTCGCATCACATTGCAGGAACTCAAAATGAAGTAGAGAATCAAAGAATCTCTCTTTAATTCCCTTAATCTAAACTCCCCCAAATATTATCTTCTGTCTGACTTCAAACTCTTTGTGAATTCCTATGGTTCAGCTGTTAGTTAACTGGCATATCAAATTTTAATTTTTGAGAAGAATTTTGGCTTCTTTGACATCTGTTTCCATGACACTCTAAATTTCAGAGTGGGATACAAATAAGTCAAGAAGAAAAATGTATAAACCCTTTGAGCCTTTCACTCCTCTAAGATACGTATTATTTGCAAAATATTATTATTATTTTGATGGATGGTATAGTAGAAACTCAACTCTGCTACTGACTAGTTGAGTGCCTCGGGTATGTTACTTAACCTTTCTCAAGTGCAATGTCCTCACCTGTAAAATGGGGACACTAACATTTATCTTTATAAGTTTGCTGGGAGGAATAAATGAGGCATTATAAGAAAACACTTAGCATAGTGCCTGGCATAAAGTAGGCACTAAATGTTAGTTTCCCTTCCCTTCCCTCTAGGAGCTGGAGGGGATACAAAGACATATAAGAAATAGCCACTCTCTTAAGGAGCTGAAAGTCTAGCAGGAAAGACCATGCAAACTTGAGGAAAGTTCTGTGATAACACAAAATTTAAATAAAAGCTCAGTTGAAAAAGCAACAGAAGAGACAGACATAACTATTGGAAGTTTGGTTTAGATGATAGTTTTTCAAATTATAAATCACTTTTGGGCTAGAGTAATCAAGAACTCTTATGGGACTTGAACTGGGGTTTGAAGAATAGGTTGACTTTGGCAGAGAAAGGGTTTTTCAGATGAAGGAAATCATCCAAATTCTACCTATGCTTCAAAAAACTATCCTAAGCAAAAGAGTCAAGGAAGGATACCTTAAATATGTTTAGAGATCTAACTCAAGGATTTAAAGAGAAATCCTGAGATCAAGTTGGTTGGGGGCCAGGCTGTGGAAAGTCTTGATGCTTTGAACTTCTTACTGAAAAGCAATATTGAATCCTGAAAGTTTTGAGCAAGCAGTTATGATTAACACCAAGAAGACCCATCAGAGTTATCAGAACTGTTCAACACTCTTCAGCTATCTTTGGGCAGAGCATTCTCTCTCACTGGAGAGAAGGTGAGGGAGATGTGGCAGGGAGGTTTAGCATGGCTTTAAAGCAACACCAAAACTAAATCACTGTTAATAGCAGTAATGCCTAATATTTATTGAATACTCTTTATGTAATAGATTTGTGCTAAGCTTTTTTGCATGCATTATCTGATTATATCTTCATAATAATCCTATAAGGGAGGTACTACTATTAGTCACAGTTTAAAGATGAGGAAATTAAGGCTGATGGAGGTTACTAACATGACAGACATCACAAAACTAAATAGTGGCAAAGACTTTTTTTATTAAAAAATCTTTTTTAATTCCATTTTTCCTCTTTATTGGTTTGGGAGTTACACATTCTCTTTTCTTTAGGAAAGTTATCCTTGAAATTTTAATGTGCATTACAATTAATTTAAAATTAATATAAGATCTATTTTTAAAATGAATCAATATTTTAACCACTCTCCTAGTTGACCAATATTTCTTCTTTTTTTATCTCACAAACTAGATATTATCATTAGCATCATAATTATTTTATACAGGTAGTACTTGTTTAGATTTACTCAGACGCTTACCAATTTCTTTGCTCACCATTCCTTCTTGCATCCCAGACCTCCTTTCTGGTACAATTTTCCTTCTTCCTAAAGCAGAATTTCCTTAAATGAAAGTCCGTTCGAGGCAAACTCTAGTGTGTTTACCTGAAATGTCTTCATTTTACCATTGTTCTCGAAAGTTTCTCTGGACATAAAATTCTAGGTTGCCAGTTTTCTCTTATCACATTGAAGATAATACACCTTCTTCTTCTAGAAGGCTTGATTGTTGCAGCATGAAATCTATCATTCTTATTGACTGTGGTTTCTTTGTAGGTGATTGGTGTTTTTTCTTCAGTCCTTTAAGATCTTCTCTCTTGCTGTTTTGCAGTTTGACTACAATGACTGTGTGTGAATTTACTTATCCTGTTTGGTCTACGCTTCCTGTATCTGTAGGTTCATTTCTTAGTTCTCAAAAATTCTCAGTTCTTATCTTTTAAGAATTTTGGCTTTCCTCCATTTTCTTTATTCTTTCCTTCTGGGACTTCAATCTTTCTCATTCAACCTCCATGTCTTTAAAACTCTCTTTTTTCTGTTTCCTTTGTCTCTATGTTGCTTTCTGAAGAATTATTTCATATCTGGCTTCCAATTTACTCTCTCCATATGTATCTAATGTGTTAAACGAACCCTGACATTTTGATTTCAACTATTTTCACATCTAAAAGTTCTATGCAGTTATTTTTCACATTTGCCTGGTCATTTGTGATCATTTCTTTTTGTTGATTTTGCGATTCTTTTATCTCTTTAAAAACATCATAGATATTTTATATTGTCTGATCATTTCAATATCCAAGATCCTTGAATGACCTATTGTTATTTCTGCTGATTCTTTCTCATGAGTGTTTCTTTGTACATAAGATACTTGATTTGATATTTAACTTTTTGTGAATCTGTGAGATTCTGGAGGCCTAAACTGAGGATGCCTTCCTCCAGAGAGGAAGATCTGCATTTGCTTCTGCCGAGAGTCAGACACGCAGGGAGTGGGAGACTGCCTCACAACTGGGATCACATTTAAACCTGGCTTCCCCATTTTTTCTCAACCCCAGGATTTATTCCTGAATCTCTGGACTGATTTGGTAATTTGCCCCAGGGCAATCTGGTTTTTGATTGTCTATTGCTCACCTCTAGGAGATTAAAAAAATTTTTTTTTCCTGAGGAAGATTAGTCACGAGCTAACTTCTGTTGCTAATCGTCCTCAATATGTTTTTTGCTTGAGGAAGATTAGTCCTGAGCTACCATCTCTGTCAATCTTCCTCTACTTTATACGTGGGTTGCCGCCAGTGTGGCTGATGAGTGGTGTAGGTCTGTGCCTGGGATCTGAACCCATGAAACTGGGCCACCAAAGCAGAATGCACCGAACTTAACCACTACGCCAGGGTGCTGGCTCCTCTAGGATTTTAATTTTGTTGTTTGTTTGGGAGCCCTGAAGATTTCCTTTACTTTCCGAAGGCCCAGCGATACATTAAAAATTAAGTTTAGGGGCTGGCCCCATGGCCAAGTGGTTAAGTTCGCATGCTCCGCTGCAGGCGGCCCACTGTTTTATTGGTTTGAATCCTGGGTGCGGACATGGCACTGCTCATCAAGCCACGTTGAGGCAGCGTCCCACATGCCACAACTAGAAGGACCCACAATGAAGAATATACAACTATGTACTGGGGGGCTTGGGGAGAAAAAGGAAAAAATTTAAAAAATTAAAAAAAATTAAGTTTATTCAAGACTTTAATATCTGACCATTATACTGCCAGAGGTAGAGGTCTTCCATTCCATTTCTTCCAGAGCCAGGATGATCTTTAAGCTCAAATCTAATTACATAACTCCCTTCCCTTCTACTTAAAAATGTTTCAAATTCTCCTCCCAGTCAAGTCCCAATTCCTTAGTATAGCACTCAAACCAGGGGGCTGCTTACTAGTCTCTCTCCAGTCTCTTTTCCTTAGCACACTTTGCTCTAGCTTTCCAGAACTACTTTAAGTATACTTAATGCATCATGTTGCCTCTGGCCTTTGCACACATAGTTCTCCCTGTTGTAGAAGAACCGGCACTCTTCCTTCCCCAACCCCTCCCCATTCTTAAGAACTGAGTACAGAGGTCGCATCTTCCATGAAACTGTCTCTAACACTGTGTTTCCCTCCACTCCACCCTCCAGGTTAGGTTCCTCACCTAGGTGTGTCTATATACATATATATACTTCTCCCCTATCACTTATTATATTACATTGCAATCAACTGTTTGTCCTTAGTAGACTATAAAATTCCTTAAGAACAGAGTATCTGACTGATACATAGTACTTCTCAATAAATGTTTCCTGAAAGCATAAACTTATGATTGAAAGTAAATATGTTAACCTGGCAAAAGGTTGGCTTGAACCAGACACATCCCTACACATATCCAAACTTCCTGATGGCCTGATCTTAGACTCAAAACTGGGATTAGTTTCCTTCATTGCCTGCCTCATGCCTACTTCAAGAGTCATATTTGTAATTCCTCTTTAAGGAAGGAGTGAGCTTTTTCTTTAGATCAGTACTTGGTTTTATACAACTTAGCTGTCTATAGAACTTAACCTTATACAATTAAGGTTAAACTATAACTTACTTTAGAACATGTTATTTACTTAGGCATAATTTCTACATAATCCTGATGACTTTATAAGTGTCAACAGGTGCACAAACATTTCAGCCAGTATCAAAGCAATTATAGGAAAGCTTCCCTTTATCATTTCTTCCTGACCATATAAATTTTGTTTCAGTGACAGTGATGTCAGGTTGTCAACAGAACTATAAATGAGACGCACTGTAAATAAGGAAACAGTGGAGACCAGGATGTAGAAATTGGGTTTCACCTTTTTCCATCATAGTATCTCATAATAGGTAAAACTCTTCAAATAAGTTTTTAAAAAGCTTCTTTTTATTGAGTCATATGCCACAATAGAAAAAAGTACAAAAATACACAGGTAGAGTTTTAAAAAATAATTATAATTCTAAGGTCCATTTTCCTGTAAATATATCTAGCTCTTTGGTGAATTCTCAAACCATCTATGATAAAGATTCTGTGTTAAAGGGCCAGTGCTTTAGTATGCAGGATGATCTAGCACGTACATACTAAAGTTCACCATTCAATCATTAAATTTAATTACCAAAGGATATATACATGAGGGAAAGAGAAAGAGAAACATTTTAGGATC